GATTGATTTATTCGGCAGCCATTTATAATAGCGATAAATCAATCTTATGATTGGCCATTTGCGAGTCCAATCAGGACTCGTAACACCGGTCGCGCTTCTCTGATAATCTAGGACTCTACGGTCCATAAGCCGTTCGCGCTTCTCTGATTATCGACTCTGCACACACGCTATCCCTTCCACCATGTCTTGAACTCTACATCTCTACATGAAAATAGGACGTGTCATCGACGTCGTCTCACGTCTGTAGTGGTGTAGATTTCTTGTCGATTGAGTGAGTAAAAATAAGCGTTGACCTATTTATAATTGAAGATACGATCAACATTATTTGGACACAAATTGGCAGTGATAAATAAAAACATTATATTAAACTGTATTTTGTCAATTCTGCAGTATATGTATATTTATATATATATACGCATAGAAGTATAATTGAGAAAGAAAATTACAAATTGTAACAAAAATATGGCTACCATGGGCGAGCCTCTCACTTTAGCAAGAGGTAAGTTTTTATTAATTAGTTTCATAAATTAACACAAATATATTATTACAACATATAAACACATTTGACGATTATTTTCGTAATTATTTTGATAAATTACATGAAATTTTATCCCTTTGTAGATGTTAAAAGATCTATAGAATTATTAGATAAACTACAAAAAGGTAAGCAATTGTGTTATAAAGTACATATTTTATGTATTTTGGCAATTATTTGACTTTACAAGATTAACTTTCTTTAGGAGGGGAAGTTCCTACTACAAAATTAGCAGCATTACAGAAGGTATTACAAAGTGATTTTCTTAGTGCAGTACGGGAAGTATATGAGCATGTATATGAAACAGTTGATATTCAGGTAGGTAAGAATATGAGCGGTATATAATTAATTTTTAATTTAACAAATATTACTAATTATAATTACAATCATTGGTAATTTGTCAAAATCACAATCGTTGTAAAGGGTTCACAGGATGTACGTGCATCTGCAACAGCAAAAGCAACTGTTGCCGCTTTTGCAGCTAGTGAAGGTCATGCACATCCACGTGTAGTCGAACTACCAAAAACGGAAGAAGGATTGGGTTTTAATGTAATGGGAGGTAAAGAACAGAATTCACCGATTTATATATCTCGCATTATCCCTGGTGGTGTTGCTGACAGACATGGTGGTTTAAAACGTGGAGATCAACTATTATCTGTTAATGGAGTAGTCAGTAAAAATTTTTCTCTTATTTGTTTAAAAATTAAAAAGAAATATATTTTATAATAATGAAATAATTTTGTTTTAGTGCGTTGAAGGTGAAAATCATGAAAAGGCAGTAGAATTACTAAAGCAAGCTCAAAATTCTGTAAAATTAGTAGTTCGTTATACTCCACGTGTTCTGGAAGAAATGGAATTACGTTTTGATAAACAGAGGGCTGCTCGTAGACGTCAACATATGCAATAAATATTATATAAGCAAAATATTTAATTCATTAAAGAAATGCAAATTTAACGATTATGGTCCATCTATACATCTATACATTTAAACTCTTTATGCTTTATAAGTCATATAACTTGACTAGTATACAACATTCTGACTTACTATATTCATACTCACATCTATCAATAAATGTATTATTATATTATCTATATGTTGTATCTTTTTGTGACATTGTGTGTTTATGTGATCATCAATTAATTTTTGAGTATACTAAAACATCGTTTATTTTGGAATAATTGCTAATCTATTTTGCAGATTGTTAATATAACATTTTTTGTCATTCCTAATATAGAAAACATTTGAATGGTGAATAATGAACATACATAGTAGACTAAACCGATAAAAGATAACGCTTATAGAAAACATGTAACTTAATATAGATGGATAATGCTTTAGAAATAAATCAATGTTTAAAATCTATTAAAATAAAAAAGATCGAAAAAATATTGATTATAGAACTATTGAAAATTCAATTATTTTATTTTTTATTACTTTTTAAATAGATTTTTTAAATCTTAAAATATTTTTTGTGTTTTACGATTAATTAATATATTAAATAACTGTTTTATTAAAACTTATATATTTTATTTTTTGTAATATATGTGTCATCCAATTTTTTTTATTAAAATACCATTATCTATAACAGTAGGAGTAAATACTAAATATCAATGAGACATTACATATCAATGAGATATTACAGTTTTATAATTAAAATTAAAAGTTTGTGTTTTTATCATTTACTTCACTTTATCACACATAAATATGCATATATAAAACCTACTTTACTTTATATATTTTACAATTTGCGACAAAATTTTATTTACAATTTTATGCATCGAGTAATATAAAAAACATGTAAACAATCAGAGTTATAACTATAATGCTCTATTTTTAGAAATAGAAAAGATTCATCAAATATGAGTAATACATATACATACGTATACATATTATATGAAAAATCACATGCAAATAATTAAAAGTATATATATATATATTAATTTTATATTTTTTTTTATACATCACACTGTCTTGGTTTACTTGTTTGTTAACTAATTATAAGAAATATTCTTATACGTTGTAAAATTTACAAATTATAAAAATAAACATATATAATAATGCTCGTGTCGATCAAAAGATTCTTATAAAACTAGAATATTTGAGACCGAACGTTACAATTACAGAAATTAAAAATAAATATAATGCTCTTTGCTCACATTTTTCTTGTTGAACATTGTAAATATGAAACTTCAAAGAAGAATATACTGTAACCAAAGATGTGTGCTGTACGTACAATTCTTACAATTTATATGTATTATTTATATAAAATTAATATAATAAAACATTTTATATCAATATCTTTTAATTCATTATTATTTTAATTAATATAATAATATTAAAATAATAATATTAAAATAACTCCCTTATGTAAAGCCTATACAGGGTGTCCCCGTATAAGTGGCCACCCCTTTTTATATCTTGTAAACTAATAGAGATGGATCTAATAAATATAATATCAAATTAAACGGCTCTGACTAAACCTTATTGTAAGCATGCAATGATCACTTAGAAATATTATCTGTTAGAGAGCGGAAAGACATGATTAATTTTTGCAAGGACAATTTTAATATAATAAAAGTTGTAGCGTTCTTTTTAACGAATACAACGATGTATGATATAACGAGATCGGAAGAGCACACGTC